AGTTCAGTTCTAGTTCAGTTCTAGTTCAGTTCTAGTTCAGTTCTAGTTTCAGTTCTAGTTCAGTTCTAGTTCAGTTCTAGTTCAGTTCTAGTTCAGTTCTAGTTCAGTTCTAGTTCAGTTCTAGTTCAGTTCTAGTTCAGTTCTAGTTCAGTTCTAGTTCAGTTCTAGTTCAGTTCTAGTTCAGTTCCAGTTCAGTTCTAGTTCAGTTCTAGTTCAGTTCTAGTTCAGTTCTAGTTCAGTTCTAGTTCAGTTCTAGTTCAGTTCTAGTTCAGTTCTAGTTCAGTTCTAGTTCAGTTCTAGTTCAGTTCTAGTTCAGTTCTAGTTCAGTTCTAGTTCAGTTCTAGTTCAGTTCTAGTTCAGTTCTAGTTCAGTTCTAGTTCAGTTCTAGTTCAGTTCTAGTTCAGTTCTAGTTCAGTTCTAGTTCATTCTAGTTCGGTTCTACTTCTTCTAGTTCAGTTCTAGTTCAGTTCTAGTTCAGTTCTAGTTCAGTTCTAGTTCAGTTCTAGTTCAGTTCTAGTTCAGTTCTAGTTCATTCTAGTTCAGTTCTAGTTCAGTTCTAGTTCAGTTCTAGTTCAGTTCTAGTTCAGTTCTAGTTCAGTTCTAGTTCAGTTCTAGTTCAGTTCTAGTTCAGTTCTAGTTCAGTTCTAGTTCAGTTCTAGTTCAGTTCTAGTTCAGTTCTAGTTCAGTTCTAGTTCAGTTCTAGTTCAGTTCTAGTTCCGTTCTAGTTCAGTTCTAGTTCAGTTCTAGTTCAGTTCTAGTTCAGTTCTAGTTCAGTTCTAGTTCAGTTCTAGTTCAGTTTAGTTCAGTTCTAGTTCAGTTCTAGTTCAGTTCTAGTTCAGTTCTAGTTCAGTTCTAGTTCAGTTCTAGTTCAGTTCTAGTTCAGTTCTAGTTCAGTTCTAGTTCGGTTCTACTTCAGTTCTAGTTCGGTTCTAGTTCAGTTCTAGTTCAGTTCTAGTTCAGTTCTAGTTCAGTTCTAGTTCAGTTCTAGTTCAGTTCTAGTTCAGTTCTAGTTCAGTTCAGTTCAGTTCAGTTCTAGTTCTAGTTCAGTTCTAGTTCAGTTCTAGTTCAGTTCTAGTTCAGTTCTAGTTCAGTTCTAGTTCAGTTCTAGTTCAGTTCTAGTTCAGTTCTAGTTCAGTTTGAAAGCAATTTCTTTAGTGTCCTTAAGTAATGAACATAAACTTAGAAAGAAGTTTTCAAACTCATGAAAACCTAGACCATAGACTAGACTATAGACTAGAATATAGACTAGACTACAGACCACACCATAGACAGACTATATATTAGATTATAGTCTAGACTATAGACTAGATTATATACAAGACTATACACCAGTTCTAGTTCGCTTCTAGTTCAGTTATAGTTCAGTTCCAGTTCAGTTCTAGTTCAGTTCTAGTTCAGTTCTAGTTCAGTTCTAGTTCAGTTCTAGTTCAGTTCTAGTTCAGTTCTAGTTCAGTTCTAGTTCAGTTCTAGTTCAGTTCTAGTTCAGTTCTAGTTCAGTTCTAGTTCAGTTCTAGTTCAGTTCTAGTTCAGTTCTAGTTCAGTTCTAGTTCGTTCTAGTTCAGTTCTAGTTCAGTTCTAGTTCAGTTCTAGTTCAGTTCTAGTTCAGTTCTAGTTCAGTTCTAGTTCAGTTCTAGTTCAGTTCTAGTTCAGTTCTAGTTCAGTTCTAGTTCAGTTCTAGTTCAGTTCTAGTTCAGTTCTAGTTCAGTTCTAGTTCAGTTCTAGTTCAGTTCTAGTTCAGTTCTAGTTCAGTTCTAGTTCAGTTCTAGTTCAGTTCTAGTTCAGTTCTAGTTCAGTTCTAGTTCAGTTCTAGTTCAGTTCTAGTTCAGTTCTAGTTCAGTTCTAGTTCAGTTCTAGTTCAGTTCTAGTTCAGTTCTAGTAGTTCAGTTCTAGTTCAGTTCTAGTTCAGTTCTAGTTCAGTTCTAGTTCAGTTCTAGTTCAGTTCTAGTTCAGTTCTAGTTCAGTTCTAGTTCAGTTCTAGTTCAGTTCTAGTTCAGTTCTAGTTCAGTTCTAGTTCAGTTCTAGTTCAGTTCTAGTTCAGTTCTAGTTCAGTTCTAGTTCAGTTCTAGTTCAGTTCTAGTTCAGTTCTAGTTCAGTTCTAGTTCAGTTCTAGTTCAGTTCTAGTTCAGTTCTAGTTCAGTTCTAGTTCAGTCTAGTTCAGTTCTAGTTCAGTTCTAGTTCAGTTCTAGTTCAGTTCTAGTTCAGTTCTAGTTCAGTTCTAGTTCAGTTCTAGTTCAGTTCTAGTTCAGTTCTAGTTCAGTTCTAGTTCAGTTCTAGTTCAGTTCTAGTTCAGTTCTAGTTCAGTTCTAGTTCAGTTCTAGTTCAGTTCTAGTTCAGTCTAGTTCAGTTCTAGTTCAGTTCTAGTTCAGTTCTAGTTCAGTTCTAGTTCAGTTCTAGTTCAGTTCTAGTTCAGTTCTAGTTCAGTTCTAGTTCAGTTCTAGTTCAGTTCTAGTTCAGTTCTAGTTCAGTTCTAGTCTTCAGTTCTAGTTCAGTTCTAGTTCAGTTCTAGTTCAGTTCTAGTTCAGTTCTAGTTCAGTTCTAGTTCAGTTCTAGTTCAGTTCTAGTTCAGTTCTAGTTCAGTTCTAGTTCAGTTCTAGTTCAGTTCTAGTTCAGTTCTAGTTCAGTTCTAGTTCAGTTCTAGTTCAGTTCTAGTTCAGTTCTAGTTCAGTTCTAGTTCAGTTCTAGTTCAGTTCTAGTTCAGTTCTAGTTCAGTTCTAGTTCAGTCTAGTTCAGTTCTACAGTTCTAGTTCAGTTCTAGTTCAGTTCTAGTTCAGTTCTAGTTCAGTTCTAGTTCAGTTCTAGTTCAGTTCTAGTTCAGTTCTAGTTCAGTTCTAGTTCAGTTCTAGTTCAGTTCTAGTTCAGTTCTAGTTCAGTTCTAGTTCAGTTCTAGTTCAGTTAGTTCAGTTCTAGTTCAGTTCTAGTTCAGTTCTAGTTCAGTTCTAGTTCAGTTCTAGTTCAGTTCTAGTTCAGTTCTAGTTCAGTTCTAGCAGTTCTAGTTCAGTTCTAGTTCAGTTCTAGTTCAGTTCTAGTTCAGTTCTAGTTCAGTTCTAGTTCAGTTCTAGTTCAGTTCTAGTTCAGTTCTAGTTCAGTTCTAGTTCAGTTCTAGTTCAGTTCTAGTTCAGTTCTAGTTCAGTTCTAGTTCGGTTCTACTTCAGTTCTAGTTCAGTTCTAGTTCAGTTCTAGTTCAGTTCTAGTTCAGTTCTAGTTCAGTTCTAGTTCAGTTCTAGTTCAGTTCTAGTTCAGTTCTAGTTCAGTTCTAGTTCAGTTCTAGTTCAGTTCTAGTTCAGTTCTAGTTCAGTTCTAGTTCAGTTCTAGTTCAGTTCTAGTTCAGTTCTAGTTCAGTTCTAGTTCAGTTCTAGTTCAGTTCTAGTTCAGTTCTAGTTCAGTTCTAGTTCAGTTCTAGTTCAGTTCTAGTTCAGTTCTAGTTCAGTTCTAGTTCAGTTCTAGTTCAGTTCTAGTTCAGTTCTAGTTCAGTTCTAGTTCAGTTCTAGTTCAGTTCTAGTTCCGTTCTAGTTCAGTTCTAGTTCAGTTCTAGTTCAGTTCTAGTTCAGTTCTAGTTCAGTTCTAGTTCAGTTCTAGTTCAGTTCTAGTTCAGTTCTAGTTCAGTTTAGTTCAGTTCTAGTTCAGTTCTAGTTCAGTTCTAGTTCAGTTCTAGTTCAGTTCTAGTTCAGTTCTAGTTCAGTTCTAGTTCAGTTCTAGTTCAGTTCTAGTTCAGTTCTAGTTCAGTTCTAGTTCGGTTCTACTTCAGTTCTAGTTCGGTTCTAGTTCAGTTCTAGTTCAGTTCTAGTTCAGTTCTAGTTCAGTTCTAGTTCAGTTCTAGTTCAGTTCTAGTTCAGTTCTAGTTCAGTTCAGTTCAGTTCTAGTTCTAGTTCAGTTCTAGTTCAGTTCTAGTTCAGTTCTAGTTCAGTTCTAGTTCAGTTCTAGTTCAGTTCTAGTTCAGTTCTAGTTCAGTTCTAGTTCAGTTCTAGTTCAGTTCTAGTTCAGTTCTAGTTCAGTTCTAGTTCAGTTCTAGTTCAGTTCTAGTTCAGTTCTAGTTCAGTTCTAGTTCAGTTCTAGTTCAGTTCTAGTTCAGTTCTAGTTCTAGTTCAGTTCTAGTTCTAGTTCAGTTCTAGTTCTAGTTCAGTAGTTCTAGTTCTAGTTCAGTTCTAGTTCAGTTCTAGTTCAGTTCTAGTTCAGTTTTAGTTCAGTTCTAGTTCAGTTCAGTTCTAGTTCAGTTCTAAATGTGTTTCAAATCTCACGTTCGGGACAAACACCCCAAAACGCAGGGCATTATTTAGTATAAAATTTTATGTTTAGTACAAATTTGTTTGTGTATGTGATTTTATTTTTATCAAAATCTCATTAAACAGTTTGATGATTTGGTTTGTTCGTAACGTTTATTATTCTATCTCTTTTCATATTATTAACCCTTGAAATGCAAACGTTTTCAAGTGTTATAAACTCATTGATAACTGTCATTATCTTTATCAAATGTCATTACAAGTAGTACTATTGTATGATTGTATGATGGAGGTACTACATACATACTTGTGAGTATAATTCATACATGTCTACTTACTATTTATACTTAATTGGTATGAATGTTTTTTTTGGTATTGCCAACAGATACTGAAGTACACCACTTTAATATAAAGAGAGAGCATGAGTATTTGAATTTGACATATTAGGGTGGTAGTTTTGCTGCAGCAAAGATAAGCTTCATTCACATTTAACTGACATTAATTTAATTTCAGAATAATATTTCTAAGAATTTGTGCAAGTACTTGTGTAAACAAAGTGACATGTATTTTTTCCATAAACATAAATTATAATTCATTTACTCGTTACTCATTTCAGAGCAAAGTCAATGTTCTTTAATTAAAGAACAAAATTCCATACTTATTACACCCCAATTTTTTGGCCACTGAAAGACACAACAAACCATTCAGTCATTCATAACTTTCATTAAAAAAAACAAAAGTACTTAAAACAAGAAAAAGAAATTAATTTCAATTCACACTCACCCATAATTGTTTGAAATATGAATATTCAAATTTATTAAAAAAAAAAAAATTATAAAAATAAAAAACTTTAAAAATTATTCGAAAAATGTTGATGTTGTTAACGTCTGTCGTCTCAACTGAGACTATGAAGAGGGTCTAGTTTAGTTCACTGCTCTTGCCACTCACTCACTTTTCAAAGAAAAAATTAAATTATAATTAAATTAAACACATATTTTATTTTTTGTTTTTGTCCGAAAAAAAACCCACAATTTGGAAAAAATTAAATAATCAATAACAATAATAAAACACAAAAAAAATTTGTCATTTTTCTAATATGACAACTACTCTGATGGCGTCGTCGACCGCAAAGACACTGAGCGACAACGTCACTACGATAACGGATTTGAATTTTTTTATTCATTAATTTTTTTCTATTTGTTTTTTTTTTTAATTTGTTTAATACTTTTTTTAAACACCGCGCTTCATGTTGATACGACTACGTCTACAAACGTTTTGAGAGTGTTGTTTAATAATTGATATTGACACTGAAAAGCAAATCAAGCGTTAATTAATGTGTCATTAATATAAAAAACAATACAAATATTAAAACAAAAAAACAAACAAAAAATATTACAAACATTTAACAAACGGAAGACAAAAAAATAAACAAATTTTAAATAGAGAAAAAACTTTAAAGAATCAACACGAACGTGAGCGGTATGAAAAGAAATCCAAAAGATTTTTTTTTATTATTTTTGATTAGAATCTAAAGAGACAAAATAATAATAATATTTGAACATTAGGATGGCGCCAGAAATATATCATAGATTTAGGAAAATTTCTTTAAAATGAGTATTTAAATTTACAAAGAGGATATTTTTCAAACTTTTTCTATAAGAAGAAAAATTTTTCTATGAAATTTGTGGACTTTTTTCATAATAAAGATTTTTCCGAAATTTTTCTACCAAAAGAGAGCAAATTTTTAGAAAATATTTTAAAAAGAACAAAAAAAAGATATTTGCCGAAAATTGTGTATGAATAAAAGGAAACTCTCTTTAAGAAACTTCTTTTCTGTAGAATATATGATTCATTAAGAGACTTGATTTCTATAGAAAATATGTCTCATTAAGAGACTTGTTTTCTATAGAAAATATCTCTCATTAAGACACTTGTTTTCTATAGAAAATATCTCTCATTAAGAGACTTGTTTTCTATAGAAAATATGTCTCATTAAGAGACTTGTCTTCTATAGAAAATATGTCTCATTAAGAGACTTGTTTTCTATAGAAAATATGTCTCATTAAGAGACTTGTTTTCTATAGAAAATATGTCTCATTAAGAGACTTGTTTTCTATAGAAAATATGTCTCATTAAGAGACTTGTTTTCTATAGAAAATATGTCTCATTAAGAGACTTGTTTTCTATAGAAAATATGCCTCATTAAGAGACTTGTTTTCTATAGAAAATATGTCTCATTAAGAGACTTGTTTTCTATAGAAAATATGTCTCATTAAGAGACTTGTTTTCTATAGAAAATATGTCTCATTAAGAGACTTGTTTTCTATAGAAAATATGTCTCATTAAGAGACTTGCTTTCTATAGAAAATATGTCTCATTAAGAGACTTGTTTTCTATAGAAAATATGTCTCATTAAGAGACTTGTTTTCTATAGAAAATATGTCTCATTAAGAGACTTGTTTTCTATAGAAAATATGTCTCATTAAGAGACTTGTTTTCTATAGAAAATATGTCTCATTAAGAGACTTGTTTTCTATAGAAAATATGTCTCATTAAGAGGCTTGTTTTCTATAGAAAATATGTCTCATTAAGAGACTTGTTTTCTATAGAAAATATGTCTCATTAAGAGAGACAATTTTCTATAGAAAATTTTTCTCTTTAAGAGACTTGTTTTCTATAGAAAATTTGTCTCTTTAAGAGACTTGTTTTCTATAGAAAATTTTTCTCTTTAAGAGACTTGTTTTCTATAGAAAATTTTTCTCTTTAAGAGACTTGTTTTCTATAGAAAATTTTTCTCTTTAAGAGACTTGTTTTCTATAGAAAATTTGTCTCTTTAACAGACTTGTTTTCTATAGAAAATTTGTCTCTTTAACAGACTTGTTTTCTATAGAAAATTTGTCTCTTTAAGAGACTTGTTTTATATAGAAAATTTGTCTCTTTAAGAGACTTGTTTTATATAGAAAATTTGTCTCTTTAAGAGACTTGTTTTATATAGAAAATTTGTCTCTTTAAGAGACTTGTTTTATATAGAAAACATGTCTCTTTAAATAAATAAAATAAGTCTCTTTTTGAGAATGGTTTTCTATAGAAAATAAGTCGCGTTTTGAGACTTATTTTCTATAAGAAATTTATCTCTTTATGAGACTTGTTCTCTACAGAAAATATTTGTCTTAAGAGACTTGTTTTCTCTATAAAATATGTCTCTCTAAGAGACTTGTCATATACATTTCTCAAAATTAATGTTAAACTAATTTCATAATTACCAACATTTCACTTGTCCCAAAAATTACACTCACTCCCACACCCTCCAGTACTTACTTGTAATTCATACATTAATTGTGAAATATTTCATTTCCCAACTAAATAACAATCAACATTTCATTTGTTATAATTTTGTTAATGTCATTTACACACATTTAAACGCACATACAAACAAATAATGTGTCAAACAACAATGTCATAAAAATAATAGAAAATTGAACATTAAACCAAATTTTATAGTTCAATATAGAGTGTGAATAAATGAATATTTTCAAGAAAAAAAGGGATTTATATAAATAAATTTGACAGTTCAGTAGAAAAATGCCAAAGTAAGTTATGGAAGTATAAAGAGTATAAAATAAACAATACGTTAATGCGAATCGTAAATATGTATATCTGGTAGTTATTAGGTTGATTGGGTTAATATTGGGATTAGAGAGCAAAAAATTTAGGCCGAAAATCTGAAAATCGAATTTTGAAATTTTCGGGTTTTAAAACTTTTGAAAAGTTATAGATTAATATGGTCCGATTGAAATAGAATTTCCATCATTGTAACGTTAATTAAGAGTCAAAAAACTCCGACCCGAACACGATGAAATTTAAAATGAAATTATTTGAATAATTTAGTGCTTAATAGAATTAAACATTTATTTAATGCAATTAAAAACGCATTATAATGCAGTGAATTATGCATCACAATAAAACTGACAATGGTGACACATTTATTTTATTTTTTCTAAAAAGTACGGCGACAAATTTTGATTTTAATTAAATCTAAAGTCTGGCTAAATCATTAAATAAATAAATCAATGTTTATTGTTTTATTTTAAATTTCAATGGATTTTAAATGACAATAAAATTTAGACGAAAAAAAACTCAACAATAAAACTAAAGAAAAGTCACAGTTACACGCTCACACCAATGCAATCAAATCCAGCACAGTGGGCCAGTGGGCGATATATATCCACTTTCTCAACCGTCTTACTTAAGTTGTTGATGCCTCAACCATACACCCATTGTGCATTATGTGTTTGATAATAAAATCAAAGTAAAATCTGTCTGCAGTCTGAGCAGCCAATAATATCCAGTGTTGAATGTTCACTGTCTTTCAGAGCGTTTATTGTTTTATTTTTTTTTTATTTGGTTGTTGATTTAGCTTTTTGTGTGATAACAACAATAATATTTTTTTTTTTTTTTTTTTGAAAAACAATATCGACAACAAATTGTTTCCCCATTAAATAAGAAGCACTTTATATACATTTGTGTGTATATTCTCTAACAATAGATAAAATACAATGGTTATTCACTCAACAACACACACACACTGGGTTTCAGAGACGGACATGCAACATTTGACTTGACAGAGAGACACCCACTAAAACTGAAACCTGCTGTTAAAGTGCAATGAATAGAAAACTTGTTTCATTTGGTATAAACATTTCAAGAAATTAACACCTTCACTTAAAAGAATAGAATCTCGAAAATGGAATAAAAAATATGGATATGTCTTAAAAAGACATATTCTCTAAAGAAAACAATTCTCTTAATTGTCTTAAAGAGACATATTTTCTAAAGAACACAAGTAGCTTAAAGACACACACATTTTCTATACAAAACAAGTCTCTTAAAGAGACATAATTTCTAAAGAAAACAAATCTCTTAAAGAGACAAATTTTCTAAAGAAAACAAATCTCTTAAAGAGACAAATTTTCTAAAGAAAACAAATCTCTTAAAGAGACAAATTTTCTAAAGAAAACAAATCTCTTAAAGAGACAAATTTTCTAAAGAAAACAAATCTCTTAAAGAGACAAATTTTCTAAAGAAAACAAATCTCTTAAAGAGACAAATTTTCTATAGAAAACAAGTCTCTTAAAGAGACAAATTTTCTATAGAAAACAAGTCTCTTAAAGAGACAAATTTTCTATAGAAAACAAGTCTCTTAAAGAGACAAATTTTCTATAGAAAACAAGTCTCTTAAAGAGACAAATTTTCTATAGAAAACAAGTCTCTTAAAGAGACAAATTTTCTATAGAAAACAAGTCTCTTAAAGAGACAAATTTTCTATAGAAAACAAGTCTCTTAAAGAGACAAATTTTCTATAGAAAACAAGTCTCTTAAAGAGACAAATTTTCTATAGAAAACAAGTCTCTTAAAGAGACAAATTTTCTATAGAAAACAAGTCTCTTAAAGAGACAAATTTTCTATAGAAAACAAGTCTCTTAAAGAGACAAATTTTCTATAGAAAACAAGTCTCTTAAAGAGACAAATTTTCTATAGAAAACAAGTCTCTTAAAGGGACAAATTTTCTATAGAAAACAAGTCTCTTAAAGGGACAAATTTTCTATAGAAAACAAGTCTCTTAAAGAGACAAATTTTCTATAGAAAACAAGTCTCTTAAAGGGACAAATTTTCTATAGAAAACAAGTCTCTTAAAGGGACAAATTTTCTATAGAAAACAAGTCTCTTAAAGGGACAAATTTTCTATAGAAAACAAGTCTCTTAAAGAGACAAATTTTCTATAGAAAACAAGTCTCTTAAAGAGACAAATTTTCTATAGAAAACAAGTCTCTTAAAGAGACAAATTTTCTATAGAAAACAAGTCTCTTAAAGAGACAAATTTTCTATAGAAAACAAGTCTCTTAAAGAGACAAATTTTCTATAGAAAACAAGTCTCTTAAAGAGACAAATTTTCTATAGAAAACAAGTCTCTTAAAGAGACAAATTTTCTATAGAAAACAAGTCTCTTAAAGAGACAAATTTTCTATAGAAAACAAGTCTCTTAA